TTGATGCCCAATATGTACTGTGCCTGATCACCCAAGTCTTTCATTGAAAAACACTTTCTAAGCCAAGTCTTTACAGACTCTAACATTGGAGCGTGTTTCCAATGAGCAATAAGTCCTCGACATATAAGACTAAGAATGTAATGTCGCTTCCACTGACCTTCTTGTACACACAAGACTCATCCGCATTCTTGATGAAGCCAAACTTGCTTACCGCTTCATCAAAACCCAGATTCGAACTCCTGCTTGCATTGTTTACTTTGATCCGTAAATGGATTTTTTAAGCTTGCATACCTTCTTAGCGTTGTTTGGATTTACAAAACCCTCAATCTATGTCATATACACAGTCTCTTCCAAAATCCCATTAAGGAAGCCGATTTTGACATCCATTTGCCATATTTTGTAATCGTAATATCCAACAATCGCTAGAATTATCCGGACAGACTTAAGCATTGCAACTGGTGATGAAAAGGTTTCATCATAATCAACGTCATGAATTTTCCTTTAACCTTTTGCCACAAGTCTAGCTTTGTATTCATATACATTTCCATCTTTGTCGGTTTTCATCTTGAAAATCCATTTGCAATCGATAGGTGTGTAACCTTCGAGCAAATCAACCAAGTCTCATACTTGATTTTCAAACATGGAGCCTATCTTGGACTTCATGGCCTCTAACCATTTGTAGAGTCGGGGTTCGTCATAGCTTGCTTGTATGTCGTAGGCTCGTCACTATCCAACACTAGGATTTCGTGATTCTCGGTTAACAAGACAATAAGGTATCTGTGTAGTTGAGTTTTTTGCCTTTGCGACCTATGAGGGGCGATAGGTTGAGCATCAACATTGTCGGGTTGACTCTGACTTTCACAAACAGGCACTTTCAAAGCCCTCTATGTGTCAGGTTCCTTTTGTTGCTCATTGTAGACACCTAAAAATGTATCTCCAATCAAAACCCGATGATGAGGGAAACCTTGCATTGCCATTTGGTTCGGGCTTAGTGTTGAAATAAAGGAGTACTTGATCTTATTTCTAAATTCATTTAATTTAACATTTCTAGCCCATATTTATTTTAATCTTAAGCCCAATTCATTTATTTTAATTCTTATTTTTATTCTCCAAACCAATTCTAAGACTCATCTAATTTACAAAGCAATTCGAGTTTGAAACGAACTTCTAAAAGTCAAAACGCGTTCAAAACCGTTTTAAAACAGATATTTTTTCATAATCAGAACGTGCAAAAGAGTAATTTAAATAAAACTCAAATTTGGATTCTAGCGCGTGAAGGCGTTTTTCTCACGTGGCACCATGTTTCATTGCAAAGTGACGTTTTTGTCGCTACGCTACGATTTCCGTCGTTATGCAACAAATGATGAGCTGGCGCCACGGTATTGCTGAGTTGGATAATGTAATTTTTATCTTTTTTCCGTATTTTTCTAAAAATACTATATCCTTTCGTGGGTTACGATTACCATTTTCTACTCACGTTCTCTCTCACACTCTAATTCTCTCAATATCTCATAATTCCAATCTTTTAAAATTCCTCCTTCAAGTGTTTCTCGACATCAATACTTCACCCGAATCTCAATCGGCGATCCACGGTGTGAAAGGTTGATCATAAACTCTGAGGGTTTAAATCTAAACTCAGTTTAACTTGTTTTCTTTGATTTGATTTAATTCTTTCGATTTATATATTTTATTGAAGTATAATAATCGTTTATTCATGATGTAGTTGCAAGGTTTCGCAATCAAAGTAAGTAGATTTAATTATCCTTCCGTTTAATTAATTTTACAATATTTATTCGTGCTAGCATCATGTTTAGGATCATTATATTTAATTATTAGTATCTTGTTTAGGTTTTATATTAATCTGTTTAGTATCATGCCTAGAATTTTATTAATAATTATTCAGTATCATGTTTAGGGTGATTTGATTCGTTTCTTTAATTATAATCTAGTTTCTTCCAATATTTCTATGCATGCTTATTTATTTTATATTTGATTTATTATTATTATTTGTTTTGATCACCTATATTGCATGTTTAATTGGGAATATGTAATTGAAAAGCATGCCTAATAAGATAATTTGGACAGCTGGTTTACGTTTTCAGTAATCTTGTTGCTAAATTTAAGTGATCACAACGATTAGACTTATGTGTGCATTAAATATCCAACCAACTTAGATTAATTCGTTTGGAGGGAATTGAATCTAGTTTGTATGTCTTTTGGGTTGCAGATAATACATGTCATTATATTATAAGAATCGAGTAGAGGCCAATACGAACAGCGTTGGGTTCATGACTCAATCCGTACCATCATCCCTGAAGTTATGGTTCAGGACCACTATGGAGTTAATAATCTCATGGATTATAAATGGGGTGTAACCTTCATGGATCAAATCATTGTTGCCTTCATTTGGTCCTTTTTCATAGTTTCCATTAATGATCCATGAACGGTTTACAAGTTCCTTAAAAACTTGTTTGCGGCTCCCTACTTTTTTCTCCCTGTCGTTACATGTCAAATCCAACTTCGTATGATTGCCAAGCATATTCACGTATGCTCAACCTAGGTGCACTTCAAGCAACGCCTACACTCATCCTCTCGAACTTCGTCAAGTTCGATTTTCCTCCCACTTGCCATTTTGGAAAGATGCTCCTTTTCGAAAAAGACACCATCTCGAGCAACAAATACTTTGTTCTCAGATTAGTTGTAAAAGTAATACCCCCTTGTTTCTTTTGCATACCCCACAAAGAAACATTTATCAGATTTTGGTGCAAGCTTGTCAGACATAAGTCTCTTGACGTACGCTTCGCAACCCCAAATCTTTAGAAAAGGTAACCGCGGAGGTTTCTTCGTCCATAATTTATATGGAGTCTTTTTAATAGCTTTTGACGGAGCACGGTTCAGTGTAAGTGTTGCAGTTTGAAGTGCATGTCCCCAAAAAGATATCAAAAGATTGACTAGACTTATCATTGATCGAACCATGTCTAAAAGCGTTCGATTCCTCCTCTCGAACACCCCATTCCATTGTGGAGTTCCAGGAGGTGTCGACTGTGAAAGAATCCCATGTTCTTTCAAATGATCGTTGAATACATGGCTCAAATATTCGCCACCTCAATTCGATCGAAGTGCTTTGATTTTCTTGCCATGTCGTTTCTCTACTTCACTATGAAACTCTTTGAACTTTTCAAAAGATTCAGATTTGTGTGACATTAGGTAGACATATCCAGGGGCGGACCCACCTTTAGTCATAGTGGGTCCGGTGACACAGTATTTTTTTAAAAAATAAAATATCAAAGAGACCCCTTATTATAGATAGGTGGTCTCTTTGATGCTGCTATTGGTAACACCAAACAATATCAAAGAGACCTCTTATTAAGATAGGCGATCTCTTTAATGATGCTATTGCAACAAAAGACTTGCTGTGGTTTTTTTTAAATATTAAAGAGACCTGTTATTTATATAAGAGGTCTCTTTGATGCTGCTATTGCATTTCGCAATTTTTTTGCGCTACTTTCTTTTTTCATTAAAGAGACCAGTTATATTTAATAACATGTCTCTTAAGTTATCTCACTTTTTTTTGTATAATTTTTTAATAATTTTTTTCCCTTTTTATATCTTATATTTGTACAACCAATTTTAATATTTCCCCATAAAGCTTATCAATTAACTAAAAAATCATAAAGATAATTCAATATAATAATTTTATTGTACCATTTGTTTATAACATGTTATCTGTAGTATTTTCGACTTGTAAAATTGAATTCTTAAGTACTGTATTTGGTTGTGGTATGAATTTTTGTGTCCTATTTTTGGATTGAAACCAATTTGGTGAAATATATATATATATATATATATATATATATATATATATAGATAATTTTTGGATTGAAATTAATTATGAACAAGACATGGAAAAAAAAATTGTACTTTCACAAATGATCAATAATTGATGGTGACACACTATCTCGGAAATCCTGGATCCGCCACTAGACATATCCATATCTAGTAAAGTCGTCCGTGAATGTAATGAAGTAGTGATAACCATTCCTTGTGGTCGTGCTCATTAGGCCATACACATCCGAGTGTACAAGGCTCAATAGATCACTTGCCCTTTCTCTGAACTTGTAGAAGGGATGTTTCGTCATCTTGCCAAGTAAATAAGATTCGCAGTTTTCAAATGACTTTAAGTCAAATGAATCTAGAATGTCTTCTTTTAGAAGTTTCTGAATGCGTTTAATGTTTATATGGCCTAGACGATAATGCCACAAGTAGGTGCTATTCGACCGGTCGGTCTTAGCCCTTTTCATGGTATTTTCAACATTATAAACCTGTTTGTCTAAACAACGCACATAAAGACCATTTTCTGAAAGTGTCGTACCATTAAAATCATTGTCAAGATAAAACGAACAACTATGTCCTTTATCCGAAATTCAAAACCCTTGGCGTCCAACGGCAAAATTGAAATAATGTTTCTAGTGATACTCGGAACATGATAACAATTACCTATTTCTAAAATAAGGCCCGAGGGCAAAGACAAACAAAGTGTTTCAGCAAACAAGGCAGCAATCCTCGCTCCATTTCCTACTCGTAGTTGCACTTCACCCTTCGCTAGCTTCTTACTTCTCCTTAGTTCCTGAGAATTGGAACAAAGGTATGAACCACATCCGATATCTAATACCCATGAAGAATCACTAGCAAAGTTAAGGTCTATAACGTAATTACCTATTGCAGAAGCAACATTGTCGTTCTTCTTATCCTCCTTGAACTTAAGGCAGTCCCATTTCTAGTGCCCCTTATTCTTGTAGTAGAAGCATTCGGAATCGGACGGAGAAGAAGCTACCTTCTTTTTTTTATCGCCTTTGGTAGCTTTTGGCTTAGGCAGATTGGCTTTCTTGCCTTTCCCCTTATAACCATTCTTCATCTTGCCCGTTCGCTTAAATGACTTGCCCTACTTAACCATAAGCATGTCATACTTTCCCTCATTCGATTTTGAGTGTTTTCTCGGCCTACGTCAACATCCCATGAAACTCGGTGATGGTTTTCTCCATGCTATGCATATTATAGTTCATCTTGAACCGATCATAGCCACTATGAAGCGAATGGGGAATGATGTCAATTGCCATCTCGGTTGAGTACCCGGCGTCAAGCCTACCCATGTTCTCAAATAATCCAATCATTTTAAAAACATGTGGGCTCACTGGCTCTCCTTTCTTGAGCGTGCTCTCAAGGATCTGCTTGTGGGTCTCAAACCTCTCGGTTCTAGCCTGGTCCTGGAATATATTCTGTATCTCAGTTATGATCTCAAAAGAAGTGTCCTTCTCCAAAAATGTCTTTTGAAGTTCCAGTGACATGGTGCCTAGCATTAGGCACTTTACATCCCTGTTGGCCCTGGTCCAATGGTTAAGGGCAGCCTAAGTTACCTCCTTGTTCGGAACGAGAGGCACTCCTCATCAAGGGTGTACTCCTTTTGTTCTTGCGTGAGAACAATTCTCAAATTGTTGATCAAGGAAGTTGGTTCCGCTCAATTTCTCCTTGTCGAGAATTGAACGGAGAGAAAACTGGTTGTTGTTGTTTGTAGGCATTATACTACAAATGAAAATAATTACTTGTTATAAATAACCATTCATAATCTAATAAGTTTGAAACAAAAGCATACTTGCAATTTTCAGCTTATCAACATTTTATGCACACATTCATAATTTTGTCCCATTAGGTGAGAATAAAACAATTTCAAGATCCCAAAAAACAATAATTAAGTAATTAAGCATACTTTGACTTGTCTTAACACTTATTATTACGCAATCCAACTGCTAATAGTTCCAAACTACTCTTAGTTGATAAGTTGTCGCATCTAATGCTTCTTGCCACTTATCTCGTTTTCCACAACATCCAAGGACTCCTTACCGATATTGTTGAGTTTAAACAAAACTAACGCGTATATCTAATATACCTTACTTCCCTAAGAAAATGATGATGTCTTTCTTTGGCATAGCTGATTAACAATTTTCGAAATTTTAGTAAGTGTCATTTTGGAATGGCAATTTTATTTCAATTTTCTTTGGGACTTAGGGTTTATATGTTGGTTTGATTTAAGTGAACTTAACTAATTATTCAACTTGAGAAATCCAATAGGCATGAATTTAAATATCAAGATATGAGCGAATAAATTGATATATAAATGCATAGTGATCTAGCATGGCCCCTTGAAAATTCTGTTGAATCGTCCAATCTTCAATCTTCATGGTCTCCTTGGCATCTTTGACTCCGTCTTCAAAGAAACGCTATCTTTGACTTTGACTTTGAAGAATTCGAGTACTAGAAACTAGCATGTAATCTAAATTAACTAAGTATAAAAATACTTAATGGCACGCGGTCCGTATTTATATTTACAAAAAACATAATGGCCGACCCCAGTCCGTATTTTCTACCCTAGTCGGGCCACACTAGTCACTTTTGTAAAAACCTACATAAGAACATTTCTAATATTCCATTCACCCATTCACTTCTAAAGTAAATTACCCAAACAAATTTTACAAATAATGCAAGCAATATCATAAAGTCATGTATCGATAAATAACGCGCACTTAATCAAATTACCAAAATTAACTAAAACTAGTCAGTTATTTAACCTATAATGTGAAGTAAAATCACTTCCTAAGCATGCAAAATGCTTAGACGCTCAAAATCGATTAATGACGCTCCCACTAAAACCCGCATCCATATTAATTAAATTAATACGATTAAATTTAATTAAACGAATAAAGTCAATTTTGTCAAAATTATGCGATCGTGATGAGAAAGACCGAGGCAAAGCCTCAAAATATGCTAAACCGAGTCCTAGCTCCCACGCAAATGCCGGTTGCTGCTAGGCTACCTAGCCGAGCAGCCATGGTAAGGCTCGGGCTGGGTGCACCCTAGCAGCCCCAGCTTGCTCGTGTGCATGTGTTGCACACTACCTAGCAGCCCCAGCCCGCATGCAGAGCTTGTGCTGCCTGGCAGCCCCAGCACGCACATAAAGCGCACACAAGCATGCCGTTGCTGCTCGGCGCTGCCTAGCAGCCCTGGCTCAGCTCGCATGCTTGCCGCAACATGCAAGCATCACTCGCACACATACCCCTTTGCTACCCTTCGCTCTCGCACACTCTAGCACACATGCACCACCCTCGGGCAGCAACACAACCCTTGCTGTTTGAGGAGTGTGGCATGCTTCGGGTTCTTTAGTCTCGAAAAATTATGTGTGACGATTTTTAATTCCAACCCTAATTTTCGAATTAAAATTGAGTATTTTTAAATTAATTTTAAGTCCAACTAAATTAATCCAAATTAAGGGCAACATCCAAAATTATTTCCAAGTACCATTCATCAATAATTAGGTCATTTTGAAATAATCAAAATTTTTATGGCATGTATCATAATTAAATTAACTCATCCCATGATTAAAATAATTATGATTTTGACAAACTAACCAAATAAATTAATTAACAATCCAATGAAAAATAATTTATTCAAATTAGGACTCAAAAAGTTTGAATATGTCAACCATCCAATGAAATCCAACATTCAAACTCAAGCAAGAACAACATGAATTTCAAACCGATTTCCAAAATCATTAAAATTCAAACTTTGTTCATTTAGGGTTTTAGTAGTCAAGATTCAAATCAATTATCCAATAAAAATTTTATCCTTTAAACATTTTAGTGGTCATTAATTACAACCCAACATAAACCATGTCACTTAGAATAATCCAATTGCAAATTTAAGCAAGTTCAAGTTTATGTGGAAATTTGAGCACTCCAAATTAATCATCCAAAAATTACCAATTTCATGCATTAAGAGGAGTATAAGTGCAGTAGATTAGTAACATAATCACTCACATAATCAACAATTATATGCCATAATTAATTAAAGTCCAAAGATTTAAAATTTTCTCGTTCCAAATGAAAAAATCCTCGAAAAACATGTTTCTGGGTGGATTTTGGCTTCTCGAAGCCATTTTTAAAACACTTTGTGAATAAAGTTCAATTTAGAATGCGTTTTCCACCCAAAATTCACTAGTATTTCGTCGAAATTTGGGTTCATAAGCATAATTTAGCAATTAATACGATTTTATCCAATAAAACCGAAACGCTAATCTAATTAAGTGCTAATCCAGATTTTAAATCCCCTTCCTAATTGGAAAAACTGCAAAAAATAATACAAACTTTGGCCTGTTCTTTTTAAATAATACAACCTTCGGTTTAACCGGTGGAAAGCCCCAACCTTTGTTTCTTTAGACTTTTTTGGTTTATTATTTTAGGTTTATAATAATGATTTCTCCCTTGAAAGAAAGGGTTTTCTATCTCATTCGAAAGACATGGTTTTTCGACCTCCTTCAAAAGACAGGGTTTTGCTCCTCTTTTCGAGGGGAGATTTCTTTAGTATAAAATCCGAGATAATTGATCTAATGGATTGCTCGTAAATTGCAGACCTCCCGGGAATGCTTGAAAAATGAGTATAAGAAAAAGGCAAAATTGGCCTTAACACCCTGAATTATAGCTTGGGTGCACCCATTAACCTGAACTTTAACTAGTAGCTGGAACACCACCAACTATTGATTGGGGTACAACATGTGCCATTGATGGGTATTTTTTAGCATTTAAAATGAGACACTTCTTGTAATTAAAGGGTAGTTAATTTAATAACACACTTTGCGCCTTAATCAATAGTTGGTGGTGTTCCAGCTATTAGTCAAAGTTAGGGGTGTTGTGTGCACCCTAGTTATAGTTGAATGTTAAGGTCAATTTTGCCTAAAAATAAATAAAAATAAAATAAAATAAATAAATAAAAAAAGGTAAAAAGGTGGGCTTGTGTAAGAAAAATGGTGTAAATAGCATGGGATAGGAGAGGTAAGATAATAAAAGAGGTTTCCAAGAAAACGTATAACATAGAAGTGAGTTGAATCTTGGAAACGACTCAAAATGAAAAACGAGTCGAAGTTTCTGGAACGGAAGAAGTATATATATATATATATATATATATATATATATATATATATATATATATATATATATATATATATATATATATATATATATATACCTCTTGTTTCTTTTAAATGCAACATTTCTCATTACGCAATTACCAAAGAGTTATTTCAATTATCAATATCTTCTTAATACTATTATGTAAGATTTTACAAAAACAAATATTTTAATAAAGTATATAACGATACGAATCTAACAAGATCCCACATGAATTATTTTTCTTTACAATAAATTATCAAAGCTAATCAAAGTCAAATATATAAATAGTGTAGAAGTAGCTTTAAAAAGTAGTGTAAAAGTTAAAGTGTTTCATTTAAAAGAAAACATAAAAAGTATGATATACAACTTACATAGTTTAGCTTATATATCGTCAAGATCATACATAATAGAACATGGGCATTGTCCAAAAAAAAAACATGGGCATTGTAAAAATTATTACAGTTCTAAATAATGGATACAATTATCCATTGACTAATTTATAGAAGTACTTAGTAAAATATATAGCATTTCTCACCACAATCTGGAGCATGAAAAATTACTTAAACTTGGTACAAGATAAGAGGCGCACCAAATTGAGGCACCATTGCCGCTAGACACATAGGTGCATGAACATAAGATGGGGAAAGCTCAAATGAGAAGTGCTGAAGAATCTTTGTCAAGGCAAGCTTTGCCTCTATCAATGCAAAATTCTTTCCAATACATATTCGAGGTCCACCACCAAAAGGGATGAATGATCCTGGAACTTTAGTTGCGTTTACCACTCCTTCCGAAAATCGATTTGGATTGAATTCATTTGCATCGTCACCCCATAATTCTTGATCACGATGCACCATGATCGTTGGCATATTAACCTCCATACCATTAAGTAGAGTTAGTTGCTTCAATTTTGTATTTGTATGGATGATTCGTGAGAGAGATGAAACTGGTGGGTAGAACCTCAATGTTTCATTTATAATCATATTCACCTGTAAAATAGGAAGGCAATGTGTGTTAAATCATAAAGCTCAAAGAGATAAAACTAGATCACACCAAAACTTCAAATTTCTGTTTACGTAATACTTTATTCGTCCCTATTTACACTCTGACTAGTAAAAAGATACGTATAAGACTATATCATGGATAAGCGAACTTACTATTGTAAGGCTATTAATGTCGCTATAATCCGGTGTCTTATCTTTCCCAAAGCGCGACAAAACCTCCTCTCTAGCTTTGCTTTGCCAATCTTGGTGTTCGGAAAGGAGCACCATTGCCCATGTTAATAAAGATGTAGTTGTATCTTTTCCGGCTAATAAAAATAACTTGCATTCAGAAATTACTTCTTCCATTGG